GATGAAGCTGCAACAAATGGGAACCCTTTATGGTTTCCAACTCCATACTGTGGTCCTTGCTGACATGGGGTCGGCCAACCTCGCAGAAGAGGTTGCCAGTCCATGGATTGAAAAATGATGCGGCTGTGGAAGTTCCAACTATAAGCCAACTTTGACACTCAACTCAACACAAGTTGTCCTGAGCAATTCGAGCAGCTTCATCAGCCTTCAACTACAAAATAGATTGAAACCTATTTGACAAGGGTTGAGCCTCTGCTGCAAGTTTGGTTGCCATGTCCTATCACAAGCGGTGTTTCACCAAGTGGCCGTTTTTGTGAGCCAATTGAGCCGCTTCAGCCACATATGTGCGAAATTTCCACTTGGATTGGGTCATGAAATCCGGCCCCCGAATTCCCACATCAATGACAGTTGATGTGGGGATTGAAAAACCGTCACACCAGCGGCAGTCCTTGGCCTTTTGGGTTTGAAAGGGCAACGGAAAACAAAGAAAGATGGTTTACATAGTCCCTCGCACAGGACCAAAAACTCGAAAACCACAAAACTCAAAACCATGCCAACATGCTCCTCACCATGGCATGAGCACAAATGATTGAAATGGCATGGTGAGGATCACTCGAAGTAAAGTATTTTTGTTTCGGATGTTTGTGTGGTTCACAGGCTATTCACACGCTCTAGATCAAGGTAAGTTGAACTACCGACCCAAAGAAAAACAACCACGAGGTTGCAGGTATTACCATTGAATGTATCCAAATGTCATGGCCCCCTCATCTCCGAATCCATCGGAACAGGGAACAGGTTGATCGGGTTGTGGGGTAGCTAGCCCCCATGGTGGGGATTGAGCCGTTGGCCCTTTGGCTATAGCGGAATGACATGCAATGACCCAGAGTGTTTCCATCAATTCACCTCCAAAATAGATCTGTAGCAGGTGCTGCAGGCATGGCGGCACGATAGGAAATTCAAATTGGTCACAGAAAAGGATATCACACACACCAAGCATATTCCCCACAAAGGCACTCAACACCAACAAGCCGTGAAAACCACTTAAACATCGGTCGTTTCTTTGTCGCCCCCGCCGTCCCCGACATCCCATGACGCAGCCTGTGGTGGGCCCCGTTCGAGTCGCGGTCCGATCGCTGACTCGCGGCGCGATGTTAGGAGCCCCGATATCGTAGCGAACATGGTTCTTGTTCCCAACCGCCCCTTAGGCCCTTGTACAAGATGGTTCTTAGGCCCTTGTACTTAGGCCCTTAGCGAACATGGTTCTTAGCTTAGGGAGCCCTGGTACATCACAAGTGGATGGATGTGGATGTGGCAGGTCAACCTGTCGGAACTGACGTGCAATGAAGTGACCACTCCACGACAAAAAACAGAATCTCGTAGGAACGAAACCCGTTGGCTGGTGGCAAGAAAAGCAAGCAGCAGGATGTCTGTGACATGTGGATTCAAAATGATTCAAACAAAGATCATCTGATGGTGCATTGGATGAAAAGCCACACTCACAGCTTCGTTTTCTCTTACTCATCGGGCTTGCAAACGGAAGACCCCCTCACCCATGAGCCGGTCGTCAACATCGGCATGCCGAAAGTGACACTTCCAACTGAAAGCAACTCAGATAGATCAGTTAGTACCCTAGGGATCCAAGTGCCTTCTCAGAACGCTCAGAAGGTGTTTGGGGTAGGTTTGGAGGGTCCAGGTGCCTTCTGACAAAAATACTTGGATCCCTAGGGGCAATGAAAGCCACTTGACTAAGGGTTTTTGATACGTTTTCATATTTTTCACTGCCTATGAAAGGCCGTGACAGTTCATATTCTTCAGGGACCGCAAGTCGCGCTAAACGTTCAAACCCTTCAAGAATCCCAAAGATCCCCTTCCACGCACTCCTCTCCGTTGCACGCCTCCGCCGCGTTGGCTTGCTCGACCCGGCCAGGCGCCATCGGCGACGGGTGGCCTTGGAGGCATCGATTGAGGCATATAGGACTTGCTGCCAGAGCTGAGTGAGAAAGGACGTGAGTACAATGTCTGAGGAGTTCTATAATTCCCATATAATTCCAGAGCCTGCTTATAAACATCAAACAACATCCATGGGATCTATCCCATGACCTATCACCGCTGTAACAGTGGATGATGGTGAGGTTGCAGGCCTTGTCCAAAACAGATGATCATATATGTATGATCATATATTGTTTATAATGCCTATTCCAAGTACTAGATGATATACAGACTCATATATTATATTATTATGTATGCCTGACTCATCATATATTGTTTTATAATGCCTATTACAAGTACTATAATACTATATAGGTTTACCGAGTTCGGACAGACCCAATACATCCTCCAAATCCTCCCGTTGCCGTCCGTCACGCTCCGGGCTCCGCGGTCCGGTGCTGCGGTCCCAGAACCTGTGGCTCGGGTGGTGTGCCAGGCTGGGCTTGAGTCGGAGGGTTTTGGTTTGGAAGAAGGTCCATCCGTTCTTCCTTCCGCGGAGTCGGAGGTGTTTGTTTAGTATACATACCATCTTCCAAAAGTCTTGACCTTGGCGAAGGAAGAACGGACCAGTAAAGCTGACTTCACAGCCAGGTAGTTGCAAAATAAAAGCCATGCTGGCTGAACATTCAAGTGGTTTCAGTCAGAAACCTCAGTTGCACAGCTCCACAGTTGCTTCGACCAAAAACCTACGCATGGATCCTGGTTCAACGCGCGCGGGCGAGCGAACCCGCCTTGACGTTGCCATGCTGGGACCTGGCACATGATGCCACGCCGCGGCTCGGGGTCACACCTGCTTCGCTCCCTTAAAACTGGTGGATCTCACCCATCGTCACCCAACGCTTCGATGGGGTTCCGACCTCGGACTTGTTGACATGTTATGGAATGAGGTTCTAAGATTCAAAAAGGAATCTTGAAACCAGTGGCCCCTGGTTGTGACACATCCCAAAACCATATATAGAGGGAGTCACCAGCTACTGCTCCACCCCACCCCAGGTCACCCACTAGACCGCACAAGGCCGACGTCATCGAATCCCACGGCCTCAAACCCCGGCAGCATGAGGGCGAGCCGGACGACTGTGGCCAAAGACACGACGCATGTGGCGTGCGGTGCCATCGGGAGACTTCATCTGTCGGTCCGGGTCGTGCAGGTGGAGAGGCGACTATAAAAGGCACAATTAAGATCTGACCAATGAGACAAGAACCGAGATCTGCTGGCTGAGTGTCTTGTCCGTCCCACGCATCCCACGCTCGGACCACGCAGCCATCACCAAACCCCGCCAGTTGCCACACTCTTGCTGCGGGACATGCTTCCTCGAGGTCCCAATTTGGTCTCTTGACACCCAATCTCGGCGCTGTCCCTCTTTCTTAGGCTGTTCCGTCCCGTGCGCTTTCCATGGTGAACGACCGGAGAGTGGTGACACACCACTCCCGCGCCTCGGCCGCGCCGGCCGGTCAAAAGCGAGGGTTTGGACCTTCGCTTCTCGACGTTCTGGGCTTGCCAGCGGGGTAGACATGCATTGAAACTGATTAGTTGTTAAGCTGAACGGGTCAATCCCCAGAATGCACAAGCTGAACAGGTCACGATTCTCGGTGAAGAATTACTAAATATAACTTCATTCATGCCACCCCGTGTTCAGCCCGCAGTGCCCGCAGTCAGATCAGAACCCAATCCAAATCCTCAGTTCATGGCCAACGGGCCCAGCTCATCGAAGCGCAAGACGAGGAGTTGGTTGGGTGAGACGGATGAGCGGGTCACCTAAGACGAACTTCCTTGGGTGGCGCCTCCAATTCGTCACTGTGAGACAGTCTCACCAGTGGCTGCGATTTTTCACTGTGGTGTTCTGTTTATAGAGGGTGAAATGGCCTTGGTCCAATTGTACACGTGGCGAGTCAAATTGTTCAGAAGGGCTCTGGGGGTACCGCGGCACCGAAACTGAAACTGAGTGGCTTGAGTGGCTTGACCGGAGCTCCAGTTCCACCCGGACGCAGCAGTTCCCCCGGAACTCCCTGCATAAGGCCTGGGGAAACTGATGGATGGTCTTGTGGTGTAGGGAATCCGTGTAGGGAACCCGTAGGGCCAGTACTTGACGTGTTTGCTGCTTTAAGTGCGCCATCTAGACCCCAAGCGTGGCTGGGAAGGTATTGTTTTGTGGTTCGCACCCTGAGCACCACAACACGTTCTTCAATTAAAGGGGCTCGGTTCAAGAACATAGAACAAATATCTGGATCCTCAATTTACGGCACAAAATGATTGCCTTTGGACCTCAAAAAGAGGCGTCTGAAGACTCAACCTACCTGGCTTGGCCGCCGAGACGAGCCACGTTCCAGCGAGCGACTTGTTGCGCGAGAGCGATGTCCGCATCCCGATCCGAATGGAATGAAGATGAATGAAGTCCTTAATGAGAATCTGTTTCCGAGTGTACCTCCGACACGTCAGTGGCCGCCCTTGTTTCGGGCGTCAATTAAGGATCCAGAACTGGATTGCGGTGCTATGTTTGGGTTGCCGGGACTGATGTCGGTTCCTTTTAGCGAGGTCACGGTCCCCATCTCACGACCGAGTCATCGCCGCAAAGTCTCGCCCACCCGTGTGTCAAGCTGCGCACGCGCATGGAACGATGTCCTTCCTGATGACTTTCTAATCGGATTGATTCTTCCATATAATCGGATGTCAACTATCTGAACTATTCCCGGTGTGTCATACATTATTACCCAAACACTCCATGGGACTGCCATATATGCCGATCAGTTAGGGTGGTTTTGGGGGTCAATTGATCGGCATATATGGCAGTCCCATGGAGTGTCTGGGTGATTGCTCCCTTCAAAGAAGCGACGCTCTCCTGTTTCTTAACTGTCAATTCAATCTGGTTCTTGGTGCACCCACAAAGACTGATATAAAGTTTCCACGGTGATGCAGCCAGTGCCATCTGGCAGGCTGGCATGCAATTCAGTACATTTGGCAGACGGTGTTCTGCAGGCATTGTCCTGCAGTACGTCCTGCAGCTGCGCACATCTTAGACGCGCCAGCAAAAGAACCAAACGAAGCCAGCAAAAAGAAGAGCTGTGAAGTTCCACAGCAGTGTCATCTCAATGTTTCTAGCGGACATCACTACTACCATGAAGGCCGCTGCTACACACATGGTCAAGCAAATGGAGACCATTAAAATGATCTCGACCGCCTTACATCGCCCCAAGCAAAGCTCCCGCCTGTTGGCCAAATGGCCAAATAGAACTCCCATGGCTGGAAAAAAAAGCAAATCAAAGCTCACGACGTGGCTGAAAAAGAAGGCCACCAACGCCTTTACTGGTGCCCCCGCTTTGCACAATGCCAGGAAGGAATCTAACGAAAGGCACAGCAATGGTGTGATTGGCCAAATGATGTAGTGCGATGACACGCTTCCACTAGCCCTCATCAGTTTCAAGACTTCTTCTCGAAATGGCCCTCTCACATGTTCAGTGAAGGCCGCCAGGCTCCCATACCACTCGATGATGGCGGCGTGAATGCAGTCACGGTCAAAGTCGTTGCTACAATTCACCTTCATCACATCAAAGTTTGCCAGCTCAAACCTGAGACGTTGTCGCGGAGCGTTGGCCGGCACGTGGGTGCATTCTGATCGTTAAATAGGGCCCTTAATTGAGCCCATGTCAAAGAACTTTGCAAGATAAATATATATATAATATATAGATACAGTAGGGCCAACATGAACATACAACAACTAGCAGGAGTTCCAAGTTGAAGTGGCTCTATTGGAGGGTGGCGCCCACTTGTCGGCTTGCTTCGCGCTGAAAAAACTGACCAGCTTGGAACTCCTGAGCAAAAAATCATAATGCTTTTGGTGGTGCGCCTTAGCTTTGCTGTGGCTGTATGATTTTTCCAGGTCGACAGTGTCACAACAGGCACCAAACCTGCAAAAACGCATCCAAGGACTGCCAGCACGACGACAGGGTTTCCTCCGTCTGGCCCTGCCCTGGCAATCCAAAATGCGAAGGTGAACACCTGCCAACCACCAAAGACCATAAAGGCTGAGACCTCATTATTCACGGGTGACATGGTGATCTTGCCTCCTGGATTCAGCTTGCGATAGGCTGCAATCTCGAAGACACACCACAATCTTGAGAGAAGCGGTGCGCTCCAAAGTACGCGCAGCTCGGCAGAAGCTGACAGAAACCCTGAAATGGACATGATTCCCTCTTGCATTCTGTCGGTGTCTGCCTGATCAATGCAAACAAAATCCAGGAAACACATATCGGACTTTCTGCTAGGTAAGTATGGGAACAGGACAGCTCCTCCAATGTTTGCCAGCAAGCCGGCCAGTTGAATCCAACAGCCGGAAGGAATCACACCTGTGAATCCCAGGGCATGGATTTGCAAACTGGAGAAAAGTGGAAGGATATCTGCCACACAAAGCCTTGGATCTGCCGCTGAAACTCCTTTTCTCATGGGGGACCACAAACAGGGCCGGTGGGACCTCCCAAAACCTATACTGCACCTAGAAAAAACAAGTATGCAAAAAGAACAAATCTCCTGTTTTTACTGCAAAAATAGTAACTTCAGCCAAGTAAAAATGTAATTGCTGCGATCAAAAACGGATGGTATGCAACATATGCAACAGTCATTTTTCTCCCAAGCCCAGCCTCTTCTTACACCTGGGACCTAGGTAGCTTTTCATCTACAATTATATAAGCTGTTTGAGTCGGTTCCGGTGAAGGTGGGATACACCATTCCCTTGGATGGTCTTTAGGACCGCCTGCCTGCCAACCTGTCGACACACGGCTGATTCTCCCACCATTTTGTCGGCTGCACAGTTCCGTTCAACTGACAAGCAAACTTTTGTACAGTTTGAGAATTTCCTTCCTCTCAAAAGTGGTGTGAGAAAAATTTGGCGTTTGGGCCGAAGAAATGAACAACCTGTAACGCAGTCCGGGCCCACTATAAGGCAATCGAAACAACTACTGCAGCGCAGCGAGTTACCAGTAGCAGGTTTTGTTCGTGCAACTGCTGAAGAAGGGTTTCTTCTTCATCAGGGGGGCTGCACAACATCATGCGTCGGGAAGGGCATGTCTTCAAAGCCCTCACCTCACACAGAGTGGCGAAGCTCAAAACAAGAGAGTTGATAGGAGCCCCAACGCGTGGCCACATGAAAGGAAGCCTGCGTGTATACCAATGTACCAGAAGCCCTGAAACGGCCAAACATGTTAAATTCAAAACCGTCAAACCCAATGTCCGTACTTTTTTTCCGGTGATTTCCGTCACTTGAACGGTACATTCCGTATGTGTTTTTCGGTCACTCCTGCATGGAAGTTGAAATGTCCACCTTGAAAAAACAGAAAACTCAGCGATTCCAGATCTAGCTAGGTTCTGCTTTCCCTTCCCCAATCGTTTCAGTATTAATCAGCTATAATGGCCACCGCAACTTCTCCAAACCTTCCAGGCAAGATGGAATCAAGGCATTCCATGACACAAGCAGTTGAAGTCTCGGCCACTCAAAGCATATAAACTAAACAACAAAAGCTCGATCACACGTTGAAAATTGCAATTTGCGCACGGGGCAATTTAGTGATCCAATATATCATCATACATCATCTAAATGCCCTCTGGTGATTGCGACATCCTCTGTGCCTCTGTGAACGGAAAGTAAGTACGCTCTCACTCCCATGGCACCCTGTTCATTTGCCAACAACTCCAGACTGGAGATCTCAGGTTGAATGGTCCCATGATTTCCCAAACAAACAGCAATAAGTATGCAAAAGTATCAAAAGGCACCCAAAATCAAACAAGGTAATTGTTAATTATAAAGAAAGGTGATGTCAACAAAAGTAGTTTTTGCATGAAATCACATTTTTTTGCATTTAGGCTTACTAGGTAGGGGATGAAGGCTTTCCTGAGAAGGAGAATCAACAACAACACCTGTCCGAGTAGCACAAAAGCCAAGGTGACCCCGCAAAGCCAGAATGCCAACATCGTCGGCCAGCCAAAGTGAAGCATGAGTGACCAGAATTTCCACTTCCCAGGTGTCAACCAGGTGTGTGAGATGAACATGGCAAAAGCATCAGTTGGCTCCGAAGCTTTGTAGAGCTGTTCCTTCTCCGAACAGCTTCGAGAATGTGGATCGGTCAGCCAAAACGTCCTGGCCTGCCGCAAGGTCTTTCGCAGCGAGACACCTCGTATGAGATGATATGCTGGGCTGCTCATCGTGAGAGACATTGCCGAGGTGATCCTGTGTGGTGCGATGTCGCTGTCAGACTTTGTACTAAGTTGGCTGGCAAGCTGCATCCCACTGAGACCAGGCTGGACCACTGACTCATCCCATAATGTTCCATCACATTGGAATTCGGGCTGCTGCTGCTGCTGCTGCTCCGTTGCAGGGCAGCAAGAGGGCTCTAGCGAATCGTGCACTATCTTGCACTGATCGTTGCAGCAGTTCATTTGACTGACGGCGTTGTCATTCTGAAACGCCGCCGGTGAAACGCAAACAACTACGGACACTCTGCCACGTGTCCACACCTTTGTGCCAAAATGTGCACAGGGAGGCGTTTGATTTCATGTTCAGTTTGTCAAGGCTGATGGATCCAAAATTTCTAGGATGCGCAAACCAACCATCTAGAATATGGATGATCTGCAGGGCAACCCACCCTCCCCCTCCCAATCTCTTGCAAAGACTTTGTTTTCGCCGATCTGGGTCCCCCGACACCTGGATGATCTGCAGGGCACCCGCATCGTTCCTGATGCGTGGTTTTTATTCAGTGTGGACCATCCACGCGCTGCTTCGACCGAACGAGTACGAGTACAGTAGGAACTCCTGACGGACCTGCGATCAGCGATCCACCGATCCATGTGTTTCACGCCCACGTCATCCGCGATCGGCGATGGGCCTCTTTGAGCGCGCCATCCGCGCTCACACAAAACTTGATCCATCGTTGAGTACGAAACTTGTGCTGTGCAACGATGTTAACTTATGAGAAAAGGGTGTTCAAAACAAGTAGCTGGTTTGCACTGCATGGCGCCCGGTCTTTCCATCAAATGGCTCTCCCAAAAGGGCGACCCTAAATTCCCAATAGAAGGCCGGCGCCGCATGGATTTCGAGAGGCTTCCCACTTCGCCCTGCTACCAAGAAAAGGGGGTTTCTCCCACACCCGTTGCTGGGGGGACTTCCTCCTCCCAAAACAAACATACACACCCAATTTCAATGGGCACTAGGAACAAAAACCTACTAGGGGCTCCTGGCCTTACTACTCGGAGCAAGGACGCTACTAGGGGCTCCTGGCATCGCTACTAGGAGCATCCTTACTAACAAACATACACACCCAATGGATCCCAAATCCCAATGGCCGTGTTTGAGGATTTCGACCTCGATCACGAACCACTAAGTCATACAAACAAAGTCACTGAGACGCCCGGGCGACCCCGTTGCTGGTTTGTAGCCACACCAGACCTGCGGTTCCCACAAAGGAACCCGACACAGGTAGGAACTGGTCGAAGGCGAAGGAATGCGAAGGAAGGCTTTCCGGAAGGCATCGTCTTCGCAAGACTGGGCCATTTGCTTCGATTAGAGGCTGAACAAGGCTGGCAAAATTTGGATGCCAAGACTGGCCATTGCAAAGGGATGCCAGTGGGGCTGGAGAAAAGAATGAGAAAAGAGCCTTTAAAGTGCTTGGGTACCAGAGTGTGGTTGGAAGTAGCAAGGTCGTTGAACAAACGCGCCGTCCATTAGCTCACCCAATTCCACCATTTCCCACAGCCCACCATTCCATGGGCACTCAATGGGTCCAGCATAACCGCACCGTGGGGTTCCCTGCAGGGTTTCTGTCACTTTGGACGGCTCAAACGAGTCGAGCCGCGTTCGCGCCCAGGCCGCTAGGGCCAGCTGGGCGTTTTGCTTCGCCCACGGCGGATGTTGGCACGGCAGGCCTCTGAAGACCCAACCCATAAAGGAACTGGATGATGACTTATATTTAAAATAAAACTGTTGAATCTTGTTGGATCAACTCTAAGGAATCTGGCACATCCCCCTCATCTGGTCATGTCTGCAGGAACGATTGAGCCAACTGGGCGAGAAGCCTGCCGGCACATCGCTACTAGGAACAAGTGCCTTACACCTAGGAGCAAGAAGCTACTAGGGGCTCCTGGCCTTACTAGTAGTACAAGGTTCACTAGCTAGTAGCGTCTTTTGCTCGCCTGCCGGCACATCGCTACGACGCCGGCTCGCGTCCCACGTCTCGGGCACCTCCACAGTCGGCTCGCGTCACCGCCCGGCGTAGGGGCCGAGCCAAAGGCATCGGTGTCAGCGAAAGGCATCGCTGCTTTTGGGAGACCTGAACCTACATCGACGCAAGAAGGACTCAAGTCGGAGTGTAGAGGCAGATCTTCGACTCACGAGGAGAGAACAAAAACGACACGTCTTAACCCCTTGGGGGATTTTGGGCTTCTTTGGATTTTGAAAGAACTTGTGAGATCTGCTGAGTCCACTGCTGAGTCTATTTCACAAGGCTGCAACAGTCCGCCAAAGGCAACGAAACCTCCATAACGACCACAGAGCCTACCGCCAGAGTCTACTGCACAGCAAGTCTCTTGTTTTTCACCCGACAGGATTGGGGTAGCACCCGACATTCAGAAAACACCCACCTGATTGTGACCTTGGCCGCTACAGTGCATAACCCAGCGCAATGGAAAAACACACTGACACACACAAGAAGCCATGACATTGACAACACACAAGGACAACACCAAGCATAGGCACAAACCACACGATAACAAACAAGAAACTACGATCAATGGCAACACCAACAACAAACAAGAAGCGATGGAACATACAACGCGCAATGACAACAAACACCTTAACCACAAGTGGCCCGGCATGACAGCAAACAAAAACACATTGACACACCTAAGGGCAACACCAAACATAACCACAAGAATACACAAGGACAAACATTCAAGAATCACGGCAAAGAATGAGACACATGCAAACACCACGGCAACACCAAGCATCACCAGAACTACCTGGTATGCAATACTTGAAAACCCCAGGACAAACACCACAGCTCACCAACACAATGACACACTGACAACACCAAATCCGTTGTCAAAGCACACGCCGCGGGCGGCGATTCCGTGGGCCGCAACGGCTGACCCCTGGGCGGGTGAAGATAGCTCGAAGAGGTTCACGGACCCGATAAACTATCCCAGTTTGGTATTTTAGGTGATGGGTCCTAGTTCAGGTCACTGGATACCTCTGTTTGCTTTTTTTCTTGTCGGCTGTTCCACGTGAATGGCATTGTCGACCGGAGTGGCCGGCCACCCATCGACCCTCGCGGCTCTTGCGCCAGGGCCAATCAAAAGCGAGGTGGAAACGGGAAAAGAACACATGCAAACTCCGGTCGGCGCAGGCTTTGGACGAGTTTTCCAGCGATTTTGTTCTGGGCTTCCCTGGGCGGGTAAGAATGCAATGAAACTGATATGTCTTGGACATGTTGAGCCAAATTCAGGTCAATCCACCAGAATTAAACAAACCGACTGTCACTTGAACAATTTAACTTAATGCATGTCACGCTGAAAAGCTCGCAAGCAAATCAGCTCATGGCCAAACCCACACGCTCATCTAAGCGTTGCCGCAGCGCATCCCGGCTCAGAATCCCAAAGAAGTCATTCCTCGGAAGAACACTACTAGCGATGGCCTCCAACCCAATGGCGATGGCCTCCAACCTAATAGCGATGGCCTCCAACCTAAGAGCGATGACCTCCAACCTACACCTACTAGCGATGGCCTCCAACCTAATAGCGATGGTCTCCAATCTACTAGCGATACATGGTGAGGATTCAGCAAGTACTTTGTCAGTGCCTGGAAAGACGAAAGGGCCAGGAAGGGAGGCGGTGAAGTGGGTGAGCTACGTAAGTGGAGCAATTGGCATGTCTGAAGTCCCTCCCATGTGCTAGATGTTAACGCTCAAACATGATCAACCATGTTCAAGCGGCACAGACTCTTATCATTGGAATGCATGGCCCTGCAGGGCAAGCCGGGAAAGAGGAAGCGGAATGGCTTGAGGATCAAACAAGCCTCCCTGCTTCAGGTCCAAGGAAGACTGGCCGACTCCAGGTCTCTGAGTATGTAGACTCCTGATGTTAAATCGACAAAAATACAGTAACATGTCTCTAGAGTTCTTTCAAGCCAACTGATGTTTATGATTTATAATGGAATGCCGGAATGCCCTATAGAAGATAAATACTGACTCTTTTTCAAGAAGATCTCCATCTTTAGTGGTCATATCTTTACCGCAGATCGGGCCGACCAAGGTCTTCCACGCTGTGCCACGCTGGTCCCTTGGGCCGCCCGACAGCTCCTCGCGTGCCCAAGGCCAGGGCTCAGGCTGTGCGAACTCATCCTCCTCGAGGGCAAGGAGGAAGCGACCAGAAAGCACCGGAAGCCCAATGGATCCCATGTTGGGATTCTATAGCTCTATCTATGGTGACTCTTTGGAACCAGTGGTTACCAGCGACATCGTGGTTTGCTTGGATGCCCAAAGGTCTGGACCCCTCACCTGGCAAGCTGCAATGACCTCACCTCACCTCGCCAGGATGGTTCTTCACCTAAGGGAAGACTGGGATGAACTGTGAGTCCTAGCTATGGATCTCGATCGATTCACATTCGCATCCCTGTGTCTGGGAGTGTCCGGCATGAGTTCAAAGGGTCATTTGCAGACCTTCTTTGCTCCTGTGGCAGAAATCCAGCATTGTCCCGTTTTCTGTCGGATCGCACGCGAGATAAATGGTTCAATCTCCCCCCTGCCCGAACCAAAACCATACCACTCCAAGTCCACGAATTTCCTTCACCCAAATCCCACGCCGTCGGCAGCGACCTCCGCCGTCGCGACCTCCGCCGTCCTCGGACCTCGGTCGAACCGCGGCGCGGAGACCGCGCCGCGCGGAGGCGTCTCCTCTTCGCCGGAGGCACGGGCCATCCAGCCACCCAGGCAGGTGAAGCAAATCTCCGGCAAAGGGGCACCCTGCCACATGAGAAGACGGTGGGAGGGGACAAGGGAAAACATGATGAAAGTTCGGGTTCGGGTGAGATTTTCTCGGTGGCTAGTGGGTTGAAAAGTATATATATAGCTGAGCTACTAGCTGAGCTGCTTTCAGCTGCCTGACTAGCTGTCTGAGGGAGGGAAATTGGTCAGTTTACAAGCCATGGGTGTTATTAGGAATTGATCATGCTATGTTCTATCTTCCATGCGTGCTTTTATTTAATTGTCCGCCAAACATGCATGGCCGCCAATTGCGAGATAGCCTGAGGTTGTGGGAACCCTCCAACGCATCACACTCTGTGGCACCTTCACATGCACCAGAAATCATGCTCTTCATGATCCTTCACATGCCGCTCACCCTGGTGGCCCAGCCGCCACCTCATCAAGCTCTAGGGTGGAACGGATCGTGGTCTCCACCTCATTCATCAACTCCTGGAGCGCGGGACTTCCATGTCCACAGTCGCTCGCCGGTCGACTGGCGAGGACGGTCGCTGGGTTGTTTCTTGTCGTGAAGGACTCTGGATCGATCGGGTTTTGGGGTTTTGGTTTAGGTCCTCCTAAGACCCTACGTGGTACGATAATTTAGATTGATTTAGTATGAGGGAGTTCAGAAACCCGGGCACCAGTTTGGGGCAGAAGGGAGGCCCTGAACAATACACAACCAACAACCTGCGACAAGGTATGCGATGCTGCGATGCACATGTCGGGTTGCACATTGGCAGCTGAGCGAGAACAAATAGCCGAGTAATTCTCGAATCTCCAGCTTGATTGCATGTCTCTTTTGGGGATGCATTGACCTAGAACACCCATTATAGCGCCGGCATGGACCAATAGCGATGGAAACTAATACCGATGGCCATAGGAATGGCCTCCAACCTAAGAGCGATGGCCTCAATCCTGGTTTTGGATGAAGTGCTGCGGTGCCAGCGTCTGTCCACGTCTGTCCATGTCCGACCAGACTGGTCGGGGTCCGTTGTACACGTCCGATCGTACTCGGACTGGGAAACCATGCGATGACACCTGCAAATACCTGGAAGCGCTGAGGTATCCTGAGGTCTTTGGTTCCAAATCCACCTGAAAAAACATAACACCTGCTTCAAAGCGAAAAAAGGAGTGAAACTGTGGGACCACCAACCGCCCCGGTTCGCACACTGTGCGACCACACCGTCGATCATGATCGATTGCACTCGGCACCGGTTTGATGGTGTTTTTCCACTCGGCATCGTTCAGCAGAGTGTCCCAAAGCTGCGCACATCTTAGACGCGCCAGCAAAAGAACCAAACAAAGCCAGCAAAAAGAAGAGCTGTGAAGTTCCACAGCAGTGTCATCACAATGCTTCTAGCGGACATCACTGCTACTACGAAGGCCGCTCCTACACACATGGTGAAGCAAATGGAGACCATTAAAATGATCTCAACGGCCTTACATCGCCCCAAGCAGCTTTGCGCCCGCCTGTTGGCCAAGTGGCCAAATAGAACTCCTACGGCTGGGAGAAAAAGCAAGTCAACGCTCACGACGTGGCTGAAGAAGAAGGCCACCAACGCCTTTACTGGCGCCCCCGCTTTGCACAATGCCAGGAAGGAATCTAACGAAAAGCATAGCAATGGTGTGATTGGCCAAATGATGTAGTGCGATGACACGCTTCCACTAGCCCTCATCAGTTTCAAGACTTCTTCTCGAAATGGCCCTCTCACATGTTCAGAGAAGGCCGCCAGGCTCCCATACCACTCGATGATGGCGGCGTGAATGCAGTCACGGTCAAAGTCGTTGCTACAATTCACCTTCATCACATCAAAGTTTGCCAGCTCAAACCTGAGACGTTGTCGCGGAGCGTTGGCCGGCACGTGGGTGCATTCTGATCGTTTAATTGAACCCTTAATTGAACCCATTTCAAAGAACTTTGCAAGATCAATATATGCAGTAGAGACAACATGAACACACAACAACAAACAGGAGTTCCAAGTTGAGGTGACTCTATTCGAGGGTAGAGGTGCTGCTAATCGCTCACTTCGGGTCAAAAAAATCAGCCCAAATTGGAACTGAAAAATACTGATGCTCTGGGTGGTGTACCTCAATTTTGCTGTGGCTGTGTGATTTCTGTAGAGCGAAAGGGCCAATGCAGGCATCAAGAGTGCAAAAACAAAGGTCATGACCGCCAGCAGGACTAAAGGGTTGCTACCCTCTACCCCTGCCCTTGCAATCCACAATGTGAAGGTGAACATCTGCCAACCACCAAAGACCATCAATGCGGAGACCTCATTATTCACGGGTGACATGGTGATCTTGCCTCCTGGATTCAGCTTGCGATAGGCTGCAATCTCGAAGACACACCACAATCTTGAGAGAAGCGGTGCGCTCCAAAGTACGCGCAGCTCGGCAGAAGCTGACAGAAACCCTGAAATGGACATGATTCCCTCTTGCATTCTGTCGGTGTCTGCCTGATCAATGCAAACAAAATCCAGGAAACACAGATCGGACTTTCTGCTAGGTAAGTATGGGAACAGGACAGCTCCTCCAATGTTTGCCAGCAAGCCGGCCACTTGAATCCAGCAGCCGGAGGGAATCACACCTGTGAATCCCAGTGCACGAACTTGCAAATTGGAGAAGGGTGGAAGGATATCTGCCATACAAAGCCTTGGATGCAAACGACCATCTGCCCACTTAAACTCGTTTTCCTTGTTATGGGGTGAGTACAAACAGGGCCGGCGGGACCTCGTAAAGGCTAGGGGATGAATATGGATGAAGGCTTTCCTGAGAAAGACAATCAACAACAACACCTGTCCGAGTAGCACAAAAGCCAAGGTGACCCCGCAAAGCCAGAACGCCAACATCGTCGGCCAGCCAAAGTGAAGCATGAGTGACCAGAATTTCCACTTCCCAGGTGTCAACCAGGTGTGTGAGATGAACATGGCAAAAGCATCAGTTGGCTCCGAAGCTTTGTAGAGCTGTTCCTTCTCTGAAAAACTTCGAGAATGTGGATCGGTCAGCCAAAACGTCCTGGCCTGCCGCAAGGTCTTTCGCAGCGAGACACCTCGTATGAGATGATATGCTGGGCTGCTCATCGTGAGAGACATTGCAGAGGCGATCCTCTGTGAGGGTGTGATGTCGCTGTCAGACTTTGTACTGAGTTGGCCGGCAAGCTGCATCCCACTGAGACCAGGCTGGACCACTGACTCATCCCATAATGTTCCATCACATTGGAATTCCGGCTGCTGCTGCTGCTGCTGCTCCGTTGCAGGGCAGCAAGAGGGCTCTAGTGAATCGAGCACTACCTTGCACTGATTGTTGCAGCAGTTCATTTGACTGACGGCGTTGTCATTCTGAAACGCCGCCGGTGAAACGCAAACGACTGCGGACACTCTGCCGCGTGGTGACAGCTTTGTGCCAAAATGTGCACCGCGATGCGTTTGGTATCATATGGTTTCATGCTCAATTTGTCACAGGCTGGATCCCAAAAAAAAGGACGTGCAACCATCTACCATATTTATCTGGGCAAATTCCACCCCGGTCTAGCCCCAAAACATCCAAAAACTGTGCGAGTCAAAGAAACAAGGGTTCGAACCTTAAACCCCCAAAATCACCACTGCAGCTCGTCCCTGGCAAAACTGCGACTGCTCCTGCATGAGCCGTCGCCTCTGTTGGCTCCACCGGACATCCCGGTGTGGCACGCCCTGCAGGATCGTCTCACCTCGGCGCCATGGGGCCCAAAGAAAAAGGACGAAGCAACAAGGCCCACTTCCACCTCCCCAGTGACCGAACTTCAGTGAACTTCTTTTTATAGACCTTCAAGATGCAACCGAGACGGCCACTGAGATCTCAGCTGGTCACCGGGAGGGTGGCATACTACGCATCCAATCAAACCTTCCCGCTAAATCATGTGTCTCTCTCTCTGGTGGTGGGAAGGCCCCCCATGCCAAGAGGGTGACCCGACAAGACTGCCATGACTACGAGTAACTCCCATCACCCACTCGCCACTTGCTTGGATTTGCTGCCGGGAAAAGATTCGATGAGGATTCACATTGGATTCACCCAAAAAACAGCGAAGACCAGGCTTGTCACCTGTCTTTCGACCAAGAGGCGCCAGCCAGGACCTGCTTCACGATACCGCTCCTGGATGGATTTGGCGAAAAACAGCACCAACAAATATCAAAAAGACCTTCGTGGGGCATTGGAAGCTCTTGGTGCAGGTACTTTGTAAGTTCCTTCTTTGATTTCAGAAATTGCTTGATGTTTTGTGTTGCAGTGGCCCCCAAAGAACCATGAGTCCTTCTAGCAAACAAAGGCAAACGGCGAACAGTTCCCTTTAAGCCGAAATACCACCCTGCAATGTTGACCTGAGCTTAAGGTGTAGGTGGCTCACTGTCTCCGTGAGCCGGACGTGTTGACCTCACTGTCTCCACACCCGCCCCGCTTCCTCAAAGGTCCGGTCGATGTGCGTCACCAGCACCAAGAGCCGCTCAGTGCTCCGCGCGATGCCCGAGACCTGCGGTCTTCACCCAACACCCCCGTGCCCGCGCGGTGGCTGCGGGAGCCGTTCCGCTGGAACGCGGGGGGTTCGGGAGGAGGAGGAGTCGACAGTGGCCGAATGGTCCGCTACACGTCCGTCCCAGCTCGACGGGACCACCCGCAGGATCGGACGCGGGTCAACCGATGGTTGGCCGAAAGTGGTTGGGTTGAGTCGATTGCACCGGTGTGTGCCCCCATGCTTGGTAGCTGTCGCTTGTAGCTATCCAGCTTGGCTGATGTGTGGGCAAATTATCATGATCATGTAGTTTCAAGCCGGAGTCGATCCAGGAGATGATCGAGCTTTCTGAGGTTTTTTAAAATCATTCTGATTGTGAGCACGGCAATTGAGGCAGGAATTCTACACCTGTACCGCCCTAGAACGACCCGTGACCCTTCCCCGTCGAAGGGGCTCGACAAATCACCTGGGTCTGCGCATGTCTGCGCCTGGGATTCTCATCAGTTCTCCATTCCCTTGCAACAGCCTGGCCTGAACTGACGGAATCCACCTACTACGTACTATAACATACCCCAGACACTCCATGTATGCCGCTATATGCCATATATGCCTATACATTGGGGTGGTTTTGGGGGTCAATGTAGGCATATATGGCATACATGGGAGTGTCTAGGATACTATATTCATCATCTCCCATGGTCTACATCCACCTGGTCATCTCCGCTCGATCCACCGTCGTCCTTCACGCACAGCGCTTCCGCGTCGCTTCCGTCGCTCGTCGCGCACGGCTGCGGTGCTCGGCGAGAGGCGAAGTGGTAGGCATCGTCCTTGGTGTGTCGACCCGCCTTGAGCACCCACAGGAGCGTCACCTGGGGGATGGCGGAGGTGCTGAAACCACACCGTTTTTGTCGGCGGAGCTGCTTCGGTCATGTATTGGGTTGGATTCCAAGGAATGGCATGGCTTGAGGACGCTACTAGGAGCAAAGGGCATCGCTACTAGGAGCAAGGACGCTACGAACGGGGCTCCTGGCCGTGCGAGCAAGAGGACGCTACGAACGGAGCAAAGGTCCGCCAGTCCAACTCATCCGAGTGACATTGCTGCCCAACCATTCGCAGGCGCGAAGCAACAGCCGGCCCATGTCATTTCCTGAGCTCGCACAGAACATCACGCAAATACCGCTTAGTTTTACCAACACAGGATTTAGAGTCTTTGGGTTCATGCTAGGCTTCGTCCATACAACAGAGTTAACGCAAGGCACTCAACCCCCCAACAAATCTCTGCCTTGTCTTGGGAAGACCTTCGACCTGTTGTCTCTTGAAAAACATTTAAAAAAAAAAAGCTCCTCAAGTCCCCCACTGGCCCTAGCAACTTGGTCAAGGGCACCATAAGGACACCTACTGGGAGCGGACAAATCCCAAGTCGACTTGACAATGGATGGTTTATCGGTTTGTCATCCAGCCACTACAGGACTCACTTGGGGTGCCGGGTCATGGCACCCTGGTTGACCACCGAAATGAGAATAGGCGCCCCCAAACATGGTCGACGTACCAGGGTGAAAAGGGTCTCCAGGCTTTGACTCACAAGAATATACTTGAGAGGCTTTTGTTCTCCGTTTGTAGTTATTTTTCAATTGATCCCTTCGATTTTAACCCATCTAATCGTAAACTAGAACTTCAGCTGACCTCCTTCCGAGATCGCTTTCGTGATAGATAAACCATGATAAAACAATACTCCCTAGGGATCCAGTCGTATCTTCTCAGAAGGTACTTGGACCCTTCAAAACTACATCACAGTGTCTCCAATCACCTTCTGAGAAGGTACTTGGATCCCTAGGGACTATACAGTTTTGGGGTGGGCAACATAGCCTGAACGCGATCGTCGCGCTCCGTGTCCCCTTTTTGGTCGACTTGCGAGCAAATCCTCGTCAACTTGTGGTGCCTTGCTTGCCACACTGGTGGGCTGGGAGAAAACAATCCTCAAATCCGGAAGGTTTCGGCCAATAACCAAAACGAATTTAGGTCCACCGAACAACTATAGTTGCTGTCTGTTGATGCTTGTTTTTTGTGCAGCAGCTCATTCTGAAGTCTGATGCCGGACACCTTTGCACAAAAAATCAACAAACATAGTCGTGAAGAATGTGAAGAGAACAAAGCAATGTAGTCGGGCTAAACCATATAATAGTGGCATATGCCAAACCAGAGCTACAATTGTACAGCGCGATTCGGCTGCTGGATTCACACCACCCGTCACCACGTGGTCTGTACATTCTGTTAAGCTAGCCGCGAAACAATGAAAACTTCTGAACTAGACTTAGAAGTCACATCGCAAAAAGGGCCAGGAAGAGTCTGGAGGTCACCAATCAGCTGACCAACGCTTGTGAGCCAATCAACGGATCGATGAACATGAAAAACAACCCAGCAGCCATATATACTGGAAGTTTCAGCCACCAACATGTGAGTCAACAACTGTTGAGCTTACTTGACCCTCTGCGCACAAACAAGCCTAGTAGATTTCTACAAAGCCTTTCTACTGCGAGCTAATTTGAAGTCACAGTTATCTACTTCCATCCTTTGGCCATCCACGTCTCATTTCAGCCTTCCAAAGGCCCCTTCACCCACCGCCCCACCACATCCGACACTGTTCAGTTCCTACCTCTGCTACTTCTCCTATACCCTGCCCACCAAGTGGACACAGCGGGGCCAGGCGGTCTTGGCGTTTCGGACCCTCCGCCGAGCTCGGCTTCACTCGGGGAAAGGACCGACGTCGGCACCGACGTCGGCTCCGGTTTCCGGTGACATCGGCGGTGGACGAGAGACATGCCAAGACAGAAGGGCTTGGCATGGGAGGACAGGGAGATCTCCGGGTGCCGGCATGGTCTGGTGAAAAACGGCTCTACTTTGAAGATCTCTCTCTCTCTCTTGATCCACTTCCTGAGGGTCTATGCTTCTTCAAACAGGGTAATTGCTTTTTGGGGGATACTCCCAGTTTGACCCCACAAAAGTAGGCACCAGGAAGATGAGAGAACAGGGCCAAACACTGGTTTACACGGCAAAAGCAAGATGAACACTATCATGTTGGAACATTTTGGGAATGCCTTGATTGATTTTAAAAGATATTACAAGCGATATTCCATGGTTTCGTATAGCACGATGCATTCACGACAACATCCACTGTTTGATAGTGAAGAGTGTCACGTTTTTCAGTCCTCTCCTCTGCCCCGGAGTCAGGGACGCGAGACGTTGCGCGAGACGTCTGGGCGGAGCCGGAAAAAAAGGCAAGAAGGATGACGGAGTAGTGATGGCAAACATGATGGAAAGCATGCTGTTCGGCTTGAATGGCTACTTCGCTGCACGTTCTGGAGATTCGGGAGGATTGAGGGATTTTTGCAGGTGGTTTTTCGGAACTTTGAACACTTGGAGGCTAGATGGCCTGAGATGGCCTGGCAGTCCTTTTTGTTCTTCTCCTTCTACCATGAAGAGGTTGTTTTGAGGGCAGTTTTTCGAACATGCCCACTTAAAGCAAGGGGACGAGAATCTCAATGGGCTTCCATCCGAGCAATTCAAGCCCCCCAAACATGCAAAACTACGCGCTCTCGGAGCGCTCCGCCCGCCCTCTCGGCGCGGTCCTCCCGCGGTCCCGCGGTCGGTGCACTGCCACAAGTCGCGGCAGCTGGGAGCAAACAACTCCACAACTGACAAGGACAGACATGAGTTGAATTCAGTGCACCTTGCCACGGAGCAACGAATGCAAGGCCTGAGGCTCCAGGTCAGACTCAGGCCAAGCTGCTAAGCTGATAGAAGAGCAGCTATAGAATCAAGTGGGACTTGGGGGCGGAACGGCGGAACATATAGTTATTTCCAGAAAACGTGACCCATTCTGTTCGGTGCAACTCGGTGGCATTTTCAGGCTTTCACCCCCTTCCGAGAGAGAACCTCCATGAACCTCCTCGAGATCTCGAGACAGAACGGTTGAGATCTCGACAGTCGGCGACCTTGGGCCGAGCGTGACAACCATCGCAGCGTCCAAGTAGGTTTCGAATGGTCCTAGCAGTCGTCGTGTCGCTATTTGCTATTTCAACCTTTGACTGAGGCAGGTCTGTCTTCTAGGATCACTCATGTTCTGGAACTATGCAAAACTGCCACAGCCCAATCTATTGGCTATGGTGTTTTCATTTGTTGGGAAGTCCCTGTCCTTCTCTGAGTGTCGACAGCATGCAACAAGAGCAGTGCTGTCTGTTAGCTCCGTGGCAAAATAATTGTACAGGCGTCACTTTGCCCCGAACACGGCTGGCCACAATTCGTCAAAGACTGCACGAGTGAGCAGTGCTCCTCGTGTTGACTGTCATAGAGTTGGCCATGTGAACGGTGGCCGCCCAAGGTGAAACGGCGGAAACGGATGGAGGATGGCTGAGGTGGCCCAAAGATGCAAAACAGGACATGCGTGAAAGGCCATGATCACCGCAATAAAGGGCTTGTGTTCCTATCCGGGTGCCTAAAAAGGTCTCGTTTGCGGCTTTTATGGATATGCCTCAGTATATCAGTGTATATTGTGACATTCAACCAAACTGCATGTGTGTGTCACGTCGATGGAGTTTCTCCTTCATCCAGTGAGATCTCCAACAAACCACGCGTCCCACGTCCTGAGACGTCACGGACATTCGCCCTGCTCCTTCGCCATCGCTCCACGGAATTCGCCCCGGGAATCGCCGTCGCCCGCGCCCGCTTTGCTCAGCGTCGATCGCCTCACTCATGGCCCAGCTCTTCTTCCAGCTCCTCGATGCGCCGTTGCATGGCGATGATCCTGGCCGGTCGGCGGTGCGGAAGCGGTGGCGCCGCGGAAGCCGGTGGGGGGGGGTTCCCCACCGGGATGGGCGGTGGATGGGTGTGTGTGTGTGTGACCTTAGAGTGGAAGACTTGGAGTTTGTGTGATCAATTCTGTGGAGCAAAAAGATTTTGTGCATCCTGGACATGATGGGCGATAGGTCATAGGTCGCCGGAGAGAAGGATGGAGCATTACAGCAGTCCCGGAACACCCACCACATGGAATGAGAATTTGGGGGGGCCAAGCGCATCCAAGGACACGAGGTTCACTATATCTTGATATCCAGAGAATTCCAAGAGATTACCCGTACAGGGAGAACGGAATAAGGACAAGCAACAGTACGACCGCACCAGCTGTGTCACCCATTTTCTTAAGCAAAAGTGCAAAATAGAACCTTTGTCAAGCACAAAGCCCCTAGAAAAGAATTAATCTGCATGAGAGTCAAAGGCTTTCAAGGCATCTTGTGGTGTCAGCAGTCTACTTGACTCTTCCCAGCCGATTCCACGTCAAAAGAGGGTATAGAAGGGTTGAAGCCATTAGCTATTAGGTCTCTACCGAGTGCCAAGCGGCTGCTGATGAACCGAGGTCTTCTCTCCTTTCAACGAAGTCACCTTGAAACCCCGGGGCTCGGGCCGCTCGGGAAGGGAAGGGAAGGAGAGAGTGGGCTTCCAAGACGGCTTCTTTCGGCCAAGGTGCCCGTTCGCTCGTTCGCATCTCCCCACACCCCACGACAAACATTCTCGCAGCGGACTTGAGGGTGCATCTGAACTGGAATGAACTTGATGACTAGCTTGAAAAGGCAGCACCCAAGTGCCTTTTTGGATCGGACCTGGAACGGCGGCTGTGATCACAATACATCAATGCCATGCCATGGCATGTAACACATATTGGTTGGGTCTATCCCATTACCAGGGCCCAGTGAATGATGGTTTATTTGCAGGCCAACGTTCAAAATCGTGTTGTTCTTGTTTACCCTGCCTGTTGCAGGTCGGACCGACCCAACATATCAACACACCGTTGGCCCTGCCGGAGAACATACGCGGCGCGGCGCATGCGCGGCGAACAAACAGAACTGGAGACGACCGACCACGTGACCAGACCACGCACTCTTCGAAGGAGAAACCAATTCGCTGCAATAGGCGGTTGATGAATCAACAGGCCTGCCTCCATAGGAACATCCACGTTTTTTATTGGGGAGGAAGCCATTGGAGTTGATGAATCAACAGCCTCGAGCTCCCCTTCGCCAGTGCCATCCCACCCGAACCCGAGGGCCACGGGTATAAGAAACGCCGCCTGTTGCTGAAGTCGGACATTCTCAGCTTGCT